TTAACTTAATTCTCAGTTTGATGTGGGAGGTTATCCTACGTGTCAAAACAAAAAAACAAAAAAATAAGAGTTCTGGTGATACATAATAACATCAAGAACAACAAATGTTTCCTGTACTCTTTAAAGGCAGCCTATTATGGGGGTTTTAGCACAAGTTAGGATCCATCCATCTGTGGGCTATACAAAACATGTTCATTTGATTTAATTCACAAAAAGAATCTCAAAAAATGAAATTTTACCTTTTCAGTTCTTCCTGTTCTTCAGCTCTCTCCAGAACGTGCTGTATGCAGAACTTGCTATGGAACGCCCCCTCCCCTATCCCCCCTATCTGTTTGTTTACTGTAGCTGCGCCCCCCGACATGGTAGAAGTTCCCAAAGTGAAATTATTTTCACAAACTACAGCTTTCTTTGGCAATATTGTTAGAACATTGTCATCAAAGATAAAAATAAAATTAATCCAGGCATCTCTGTTCTCCATGGCTGCTGTAAAAACAGAACAACTATCGTCTTTTGAGGAAGGGGGCGGAGCTTCACCTCGGGTTGCCTCGTGAGGAGCAGGACTCTGGTTTAGGTTGCTAGGTGACTGTTATTGTGACGTCAGAATAACGTGCTTTGAGAAATACCATGTTTCCAGATACCTAAAAATACAYGTAATTACAKCTAWAAAAYRRCTGGGTGCATTTGTTTGGTGTTTGGACTGCTTCTCTAAGCAGTAGAGACACAAAAGTAAGTTTAAAAACATGAAAAAAGTGAGTTTTGCATAATAGGTGCCCTTTAATGCAAAGCTGATGATAAAAATGTAATTTCTGCCATCAAGTTATTATTCAGCTGTTAGATTTTAGTCATAATGTGGGCCAATCCACAGCGTCTAAGCAGACGTTCTAAAAACAATAACGATGCTTGCCTAAAGTGCAGCTTGGTGCACGGCTGAGGAGCGTCTCCAGAGCGGACACAGTCCTCTTTGGTCCCGTGATCGCAGAACTCCTGGACCTGCGCCCGGCCACGGGAGCGGAACTTCTCCACGATGGACTGCTCCTTGGCCGTGCTGGCGTTGAGCAGCTCCAGAATCTCCTGACTCATCTGAAAAAAGTAAAAAATAAAATAAAATAAAATGAAACGAAATGAAATAAAAATAAAGAATAAAACATTCACACGATGCTGCGTTGCTCAGAGTCCTCGGAATGATTCTGCTCACCTTTTTGCTCTGCTGCTCCTTGGTGGACTGCTGGTTCAGGAGGTTTTCGATCTCCATGTCCAGGTGGGACGACTGGTTTTTGCTGGTTCTCCCTTTCTTCTCGGCTGCGCTCCCCGCAGAGGAAGACGTGAGCTGAGACGAAGAGGCCGGAGTCAGGGAGGAGGAGGACGAGGAGGAGTGTGGCGGAGAAGCAGCGCTCGGGAGCGAGGGCGAGAAGCCGCCGGCTCTTTTGCTGACGCTCTGCTCCTCRGCTTTCCTCTTCACTCCGGTCCTCTGGGCTCCAGCCCCAGAGCCGATCATGGCCCAGAGTTTCGTGTGGTCCACGGCTACCACGACCGTGGAGGAGGCTGTAGAAGATGAAGACGCAGAGGAATGCTGTCGAACCTCGATGAGCTCCTGAGCTGAGAATTTAAGCAGCAGGCTCTGGATGCATCCATGACTGACAGTTCCTTCAGACTGATGAGAAAGAAACACAAAGAAACAAAATAAGAAAAAATAAAACAAGTTAAACATTCCCGTGTTTCACATTGAAACAGACTTACACGGCTGAGCTCGTTGGTGATGGCCAGAGAGTCGGTCGGCAGCGACAGACTCAGATCAGACAGATATCCCAGCAGGCTTTTCTCTAGTTCAGGGTCTGGCGGTTTTTGAGTCTCCTCCTGAGACGTGGGCAGGACTGAAGGAGCTGGACTGTCACTCCTGGCTGCTGAACCTTCACTGCTGCTCCCAACATCTGAGACGTGACRAAGATAAACTCAGAGAAAACGTACACACTGTGCATCGAAACCAATCAGAGAATAACATGGAAATATGAAATGGGATTTAATCTAGATTATTTCAAAACACTCCTAGAATGAATTCAAGTTCAGTGTTATATAGTTTTCTGCACTCATAGAGACTCAAACTACACAACAAAATGTATTTAACAGCTAAAAGAGTGGATTGTGCATCATCTGTCCCATTTACAAACTTGCCTAAATAAAAAGGTTTTAAGACAAGATTTAAAAAGATCAAGATCTGAGGCAGCTCAAGTCTACATAGTTAGTTCCACAGTCTGGGTGCAGYRACCAAAAAGKCTTGACGGTCACACCAATGTTTATGTTTGGACTTTGTAACAAACAGTAAAGAAGTCAGTCTCTCTAACGAAAAACTACCAGATCAGTTAAGTAGGGTGGGGTGAGACTATTAAGAGCTTTAAATGTGAATAATAAAAGCTTAAAATTAATTCTAAATTCTAAGAAAATGGAGAGAAAATAAAACCGGGGTGACGTGCTCACGTCTTCAAGTGTTGGTTAGAAGACGAGCCACAGGATTCTGAACCAGTTAAAGACGTCTGATGATTAGATTGGACTCCTACATACAAGGCGTTGCAGTCGATTCTTGAACTTCAAATCCATGTCAAAGTTTTTGACTGTGGGTCTGAACTTAAACGTCAACCAAGTTACTCACCAAAACAGAAACACATTTAAAACAAAAAAAAACCCCAGTGTTTTTAATGAATGAATGAACCAATATCAATTGAACAATTTGTACAACTTCAATGTTGATGTTTTTACACTCAAAGGAATATAAAATATTTCATTCACTTCAAGTTACTACCCAGCTGACTCAAAATAAATGTTTGAACTGTGCCTGTAGATTTCCAGTCAAATGCCACTTATATTGAGACGAAAAATGTTAAAGTTCAGTTTGTGTATAGATGTTAAATTTCTATTAGATTTTTACTTGTCAACTTCCGGTGTGCTTCTGTCAYTACAAATTCCTTGCATGAGTAACATCTTGGCACTTTTACATCTAATTTCCTACTTTTTGATTAGTTTATGTGCACCTACACCGCCAGAAAAAAAAGGCAATACGTGTTTTTACTTAGTGGGAAACACACAAGCCCCCCGCAGGCCGCTGTGTTCGCAGGGTCTACCCGGCCTGGAACTCACCCGCGGCGGACAGCTGCGCCGGGTCTTTCCGCCGCCGCTGCAGCCTCTCCCGCAGAGAGTCCAGCTGCTTCTTGTGCGCCTGGATGTTGCTCCAAGTGTCCGACATGACGAGCTGAATTACACAAGAACGCAAGCTCCAAACGTCTGTCACAGGGAGTACCAAAATATAAAACTGATTGAAAACTATTCGCGCTCGAAGGAACAAAGTGTGTGGTCCGCAACGAAATAAAGCCCCGGCAAGCATTTCCTGCAAGACTAAACGTTCCGGGGAAAATAACATTAATTTTTTTTATCAGTGGCTGATAATAATGGTTAAATTTTCTAAATGATTAGAGCTMTATATTCATTTTATAAATAACGTAGTTAAACTTTTTATCAGTTCATTGTACAAAATATAAATAAATATTTGCCGGATTCATTTTGAAGACGGACCGCAGCGATTTCCGGTGTTGCTGAAATTAAAAGCCTTAGCTTTCTTTTTCTTTGTGCTAAACCTGAGCACATTGTTGGTTCTTCAATAAAAGTATTAGTATACAGAAGTAGACTTTTATATTTAGCAATTATTTGTTAACATTTAGTTTGGCTGTTGCTCCTGTCTTTTTGGGGGGCTTTAGTTGAAGTGAAGATGGCGGAAAAAGAAGACAGCGGTGAGCCTGGAAAGGACAAAAACGAGCTGCAGGTTATGAAGGCAAGTTCATCATCAGCATCTCTCAGTTAGTGTGCCATGTTGTTGTTGTAAGTGGTTGACTTGAGGTCATTTTGACGTGATGCGCCTRAGGATTGCGTTATAAAAAAGGTAACTGTTTTGATGCTGTTTCAGGTGCATCAGTCTGTGTATTATGAATCTACAGACAGGCCTATCTGCTCTCAGAKCCAACTTTTTGTAGTTATTCATGTTAGCTTTATGGAAGTCTGCTAATGTTAACATCTACACTTAATGCTTCTTGGAAATAAATATTATACCCTTAGAAATTCTGTTGATTTCCCATTTCARTTGTGCTACCGTTATAAGKAAMGTGCATTTGTGGGATGAGCAGTAGAGCTGAGTGTGTGGGTTGTGTACATGAAATTTTTACCAAATCTTCTCCGCCAAACTGCTTATTTTGCTGTTTGACACTTGTTTTGTGCTTCTGGTACCCCCAGGCGCTGCCCATCAGGTGCTYGGTATAAGATTTATTGCCAAGAAGTATTGTTACCACAAAGAAATAATCTACCACATATTCCCTAACTTTTTCTGCTAAGTCCAGTTCTTGCATATGACAGCCTTTGGTATCAGTGCCTATTATGCTTGAAGTAAGTCAGAGGTAAGTTACCTAATAAACAAACTTTCCTTGCCAAATGATCAGGTACTGGACTAGAAATGAGTGTAAAAGAAGCCAAACTCCAAAGAAAAAARCAGAAAGAGCTGCTGTTTAAAATCTATTTAAGATTTACAAGATTTTTGACTTTGGAAGCAAACCATAAAGATTTGAAGGGTAACAATGCTTATATGAATGTTTTGTTTTGATTTACCCACTATTAATATTCCTTTAAAATCCTCTATCCTGCTGTGCAGCTTTAAAACAAATCACAAATTAAACATCAAAATGTGCAATTTCATTTTGGGAGCAGAACGTTGTATGATTTGGTCCGTTCCCATTAGTCATCTAATAATAATGATCTAATTATCACTCACCCACTCTTCCAACACAGGAGCTCGTAGACGAGCTGTATAAATTCAGAGACTGTTATTTTGAGACGCACGGCGTGGAGGATGCTGGACGGAAGCAGAGCGACGTTGCACGGGAGGTGGAGCGTACTCTGAAAAAGCTGGAGGAGAAAGAAGGTGCCCGTGCTGCTCTCATCTCCCAAACGTTTACTCTCCAGTTTGCAGAAACTCATTCAGACGTCTGCTTTTTTTTTTCCTCCCACCTTCTCATCAGAGCGCTTCAAACACAAAGCTGAGTTTTTGCTGCAGAAGGGCAGGTGTCTGAATGCAACGCCGGACTTCAGCGCCGTGGCAGAGGAGTGCCTTTCCCGTGCTGTGAAGCTGGAGCCTGGCCTGGTGGAGGCTTGGAACACGCTGGGGGAGCAGTACTGGAAGAAAGGAGACCTGGTCGCTGCTAAAAACTGCTTCACCGGCGCTTTGCAACAGGTGAAAATGAAGCAATGACAGCTGACACTTYTGGAGAGTTTGAGCTTTATATAACATCACCTCTGTCTGCTTGATCTGTTTTTGTAGAATAAGAACAAAGTGTCTCTGCGCAGCCTGTCCATGGTGCTGAGGCAGGCACCGGCGGCCAACAGCGATGAGAAAGGCCAAGTGGTGATGGAGAGTGTGGACATGGCCCGGCAAGCGGTCCAGCTGGACCCCACTGATGGGACTTCATGGTGTGAGTAGAGCTTTGTATGCAGGGTTCCTACAGTTTAAGGCAAGTTAAATTTAACACTTTTTAATGCCAARTGAAATTAAATTTAAGACCAATTTCATAATAAACACAAATGACTAAATAACAAAAACAGCAGAAACCCATGAATCAAAGTATTCTTGGTTGAATTACTTAAATATTGCTGATAGACCAATTTTTTTATCCATATCTAATTGCTTTATTGTCAAATCAGTGTTTCCCCTACCATTATAC